TCATTAAGTTTGTGGATTATTTATACTGTACAGGTAGTCGGCTCGGATACTTATGCGAGAAATCCTATTGCATAGACAACTAACCAAATAATGAACCACAATTAAATTGTCTATTAGGAGAGTCTATAAAGTAAGGTTAGCCAGCAGGGCAGTCTTGTTGAAATGCACCTCTAACATAATTTAATAATCATAATCATGTCGATATACATTATTGATAGCACTGAAAATTTTGGACTGCACTGTTGCCTAATTTATTTTCGAGCATGTACCTTCGACGTTATGTGATTTTGCTTAGTGAAGAAAATTCGTCTTGCGCTTACAGATTTAAATCTTGTCTAATTTTTATTCCAAAATAAATATTCTACTTATTTTATTTTACTAATTTTAAATTAATAAATGAAATGGTATTATTTAGATATAAACACCCTTTTTGAATAGAAAAAAATATTCATACAATAAAAACTGAGGCTTAAAAATATAGATCACACCAGAACGATGTAAATATATATGGAAATTTATCTGATACACCAAAAAATAAATTGGTAGATTTTAATTTATAATTATATTTATTTTAGTAATTTTTATGAACGTTTATATTTTCTAGGCAATTTTTATTTTCGGTAATTTTTGTTTTGAGTTAATTTTTTTATGCCATTAAAAAGTAAAACGGCGTGCCATATTAAGCAATATATTGTTATATGTATACATAAAACACTATAATTATTTTAATAATAATTAAGGTTAGGTAGATCTGAGAGTAGTCGTAGTGTGTATTGCCGTGTATTGCATTTCTATTGGTTAAAAATCTGTATCGTAATGAAAAATTTGTATCATAATGAATCTCATTATAGTACAGGTAGGAAAAGTCCAATAATGGGAGTAGACAAATTTATTTTTAGGTAAATAAAATTTTACAATGTCATATCAGCAAAAATTATATTAATATAACCGTAAGTATAAAATCCCAATAAATTTCCTTAATTTTATTATTTTTGTCAATTTTCCCGCAAATGTTATGGCAATATATACGCATCTTAAATTATGAATACTTTCGATGCTATAAGAGGAAACGCAGACCATTTTGCACCACACAAAATGTTATGCGCTGCTCTTTAAGTTCAAAAGTGCAGAACCCATCTTGCGGATATTGGGTGGTGTAAGGTCTGTGTTTACCTCAGGATTGCCTATAAAAAAAGACCGTTTATCGGTTTGCAAATCTTAAAGGCCAAGTTTGCAAATAAGCCCACTGACGACAAAAACAAAATTTCCTATAGCTTGGCATATTTTCTTACTTTTCAATATATCTTTGAAATGAAGGAAAAATTTCAAAAGGTATAAACTAAATTGGCATAAACTTATTAAAAGTACTATAAATACATTTCTTTTAAAATAAAATAAATCATTTTAAATAAATTATTTTTAGGTAAATAAATTAATGTATCTCTAATATTATACATAACTTCGAAATGTTCCCGAATCATCTCTTATTATTAAGTGTAAGTATTAAATTAAAAAAATCAAATTTATTTAGTAATTTGTGGCAATTTTCACGCATCTAAAATTTTCAATATTTTTGATGTTGTGAAAAGGGACGCAGACAATCTAACTTCACCCAAAATTATTTGCGCAGTTCCAGAAGTACAAAAGTGGATGTAAAAGCGCAGAAAACACCCTGCGCAGAACACTGTGTGCGTAAATAACATTCTATGCTAGTTAAAATCCGATAAAACTACATAAGATCGCAAAATGTGCGTCTAAACTATTTTACATCGCATTGTATAATGGGTGGGGTTGAGTCTGTGTTTGCTTTATAGTTGCCTATAAAAATAGTCGGTAACTCAGTTTGAAATTGTTAAGGCTAAAACTTTAAATTTACACGGCGACGACACTTAATACACAAATAATAATGTAACAAATATATATTACTTGTTTATGATTTAAATAATTTCTATTTTTAGGTAAACGCAATATTTAGATATTCAATGGTTCCTGTTGACTGTTTGATTTTGTAAGCTTAAAATTCCATTTATTTTTTTATGGCAAATTTCACGCATCTTAAATTTTTAACATTTCTGATGTTGGGAAAGGGGGCACACACAATCTAACGTCACCCAAACTATTTTGCGCAGCACTAGAAGCACAAGAGTTAATGCTAAAGCGCAGAAGACATCCTGCGCAGTAAATTGCGTGTGTTAATAAAATTCTACGCAAGTTTTTATGTAATCAGATCGCAAAAGTGTATTGTATAATGGGTGGTGTTAAGTTTGTGTTTGCTTTAGCTTGCCTATAAAAATAGTCAGTGTCTTAGGTTTGAATCGTTAAGGTTAAGTTTGGAATTTTCCTATTGACGACATTAAAAATAACTGTTTAATTAGAAAAAAAATGTATTAAATATTTTATAATAATATTTTTTTAGTTAAATAAACATCATACATATGTAACATCGCAATATTTCCAAACCAGTACTCATTAATAATGGTAAGTATATAATTGAAAAAAATTAAATTAATTTTGTAATTTATGGCAATTTTCACGCATCTCAAATTTTCTATATTTTTGATGTTGTGTAAAGGTACGCAGACAATCTAACTTCACCCAAAATATATTGCGTTAAAAACAATCTACGATGCGACCAATCTACATAAGGTCGCAAAATGTGCGACCAAACTATTTGGGGTCGCAAAAAAGAGTCGCCAATGGTATAATGGGTGGTGTTAAGTCTGTGTTTGCTTTATAGTTGCCTATATAAAGAGTCGGTAAATCTGTTTGCCATCGCGAAGGCCAAGGTTGTTAATAAATCGACCGACACACAAACATACATCAATAGTATATTAGTATACGAGAGATAATGCAGGCTATTATTCACGAGAATGAGGTTTGCGTCTTGAGTCGCTAGACGAGAGACTCAAGTCATCCGAGTGAATAATGCGCATAATCTCGAGTGTAATACTATACTTTATTTACTCCAATAAGTAGATAATTAATTGTTTTTAAAAAATATTATAGTCGCCTTCTTCCAATTTAAAACCCGATTGGTTAAAATCAGTGAATATTGGAATGGGCCAATCACTGATGCCTAACAACGTGAATAATAAGTTCACTATTCCCGTTGTTAGGAAGGGAATTTATAATGTTTATTAATAGTCATGAACAAAACCAAAATTATGCAATAAGAGTACATAAACATATTTATTAGAGATTTAATATATTAATATTTTTATATTTTATATTCCAGATAATGTTTCCTCTATATTATAACTTCGATATGTTCCTAAACCAGCACTTAATAGAAAATGTAAGTATAACGTTTATCAAAAATCCAATTTATTTAGTAATTTGTGGCAATTTTTACGCATCTCAAATTTTCTATATTTTTGATGTTGTAAAAAGGGACGCAGGCAATCCAACTTCACCCAAAATATTTTGCGCAGCTCTTGATGCACAAAAGTGCATGCGAATGCGCAGAAAACACCCTGCGCAGAAAATTGCGTGCGTTAAAAACAATCTACGTGAGTTAAAATGCGACCAATCTACATAAGGTCGCAAAATGTTCGACCAAACTATTTGGGGTCGCAAAAAAGAGTGGTGCATTGTATAATGCGTGGGGTTAAGTCTGTGTTTGCTTTATAGTTGCCTATATAAAAAGTCGGTTAATCTGTTTGCTATCGCGAAGGCTAAGGTTGTTAATAAATGGACCGACAAACACTTACGTCATACGGGTTAATTAATATATTAATATTATTATATTTTAGGAGAATACAAAGAAAATTAAAATTACACCTAGGCATTGGTAATTATAAAAACAAAATTAAAGGCAATTTTTAGGCATATAAAACCATCTAATGTTCTATGTGTTATGAACTTGCCGAGACTAAAAGTCAGATTAAGCTGCCAAAATTGCAAAGCTTTATAAATCTTAGGTTAAAAGTTTGACAACACTTGAAATTGAATTTATTATATTATAAGGGCGAAATATATTTGACGGGATCATTGTACGCAAAGGGTAATTGCTTTTAGTGTTGATTTTTTTTGTTCGTTTACGAACATCTAGGCTAGGCGACCTTGGATACTGAAGAAGTGCAGTGGCCAGCAGGCTCGAGCAAAGTGTCCAGCATAGTTGGGTTGAATCACGGTAAATGACCTATACACTGTTGCCGCATGCCCAAATCAGTTTGAACGTCACCGAATTCATTCAGGCAACACATCAAAACAAAAACAAGTTTCGGATTTTTAATTTTGACTTAAAACAATATACGATGATATTATTTAATTTTCTCGAAATAGCCGCATTGTCGGTGAAAAACACATGTGTTAATAAACACATGTCAAAGGTGAGAGATGTGAAATACTTAATTAAATGCAGGAGGATACATAAATTATTTATTTGCTCTTGTTTTAAATTTCAACAACTTCCCTTTCACGCACACGTGTTTTTTGTCATCGAGGATTATTTTTACTTTTACTCTCTTAGCGCCCTTGAAAACTCAAAATGCAATAAAAGCATTGGTTGTATGTATGAAAATAGTGAATTGATTGCCTAGACGCATAAATCTTAGTAGTTAATTCAAAAACATTATTCAGACTGAAAATATTTCATAAATATGTCAAGAAGAGGGAAAATGACCTAGTTGTTCCTTATTCAGCTTTATGCATTTTTATGGTCTAAAGTTCATGAATAAGTATGTAGTTAACTTTTTCATATCATATCATTTAATCAGTATTACATACATAGTACATGTTTATTTATAAATTTTAAACATAACGTTTCAGGTTAAATTTAATGCAAATTATATACTTGAATTCGCAATATTTAAATTTTTTTTATTGATTTTAAATTAAATAAATATTCGCGAGCGCATTCCGTAAACATTAATACACATGGCGCCACCTGTTGGTGAGCACGCCAATCATTTTTCTACACCAACAGGATTCTATAGGATTGAACCAATCTTACTTAATTAAAAAAAATTGACAACAAATAAATAATTCAAATGACTTACCATTGAAAGGCATTGTAATGAAAATAAACTAATCCTAAACCATACAAAAAGGTTGGATCTTGCCAATGGTTTTCAGCTTGTGTTTTGTAAAACATTTGATAGGCTGAAAGTGCTGAAATTGAAAGAAAAATTTCAGTTTTTATGAGTTGACTACAGTTTTTATTAAATACCTTTTCTATACTCTTCGAGGAGTAAATGAAAATGGCCCAGCTTAACCCACGTCTTTGGGTCAATGCTAATATTTTTGCTATTACTGTTTTGCTGGTAATTGTTTGGTTCATTTTCATTTTGCACTTTTTGCTGCCTTCTAGCCTGAATAACCATTAGCTGCAGGTATTTGACAGCCTAAAACACATTTGTGATGATAGTAAAAGTGATTAAAAAGTCAAAATAAACTGAATGTTTACCTTAAGAACTAAAGCTTTTTTCGTTGCATTTTCTGGTTGATTTAGCAATAAATATCCATATTGGCGGCTAAAAGATAACGCGTAAACATTCATTGCACACATTATTATGAAAATAAAAGCTTTTAATTGCTTAAAACTCACCTGTCAAGCTCTGAAAGTATATGCAGTTCCTGTGCAGTCATTGCAATGTCTTCTGTTTCTTTACTAGAACTGTTTGTTTTACTCATTTTGCACTCACGTAGTTAAAAGTACAAAAAGATGCGAAAATACGACGTTTACCGAATTAAAACTCTATAAATAAATCGTAATAACCCACTTTACTTCGAAAAATGTATACCCACACGACTTGCTGCTTGATGACAGCCATATTTAAAACTTCTACATTCTCCTACCAACAGATGGCGTTCCACCTCGCCGCCATTTTGAACACTTTTTAATATTTTTAAACGGTCCTAATTATTATTTATACAAATTAACATTATTTGCTATTTATAATGGGGGGGTTTAATTAAAACATTTTACAATTACAATCGAAAACGATTATTAAATTTCGCGCAAAAAGTAGATACCTGTAAAATTAAACTAGTCGTTTGAGCAGTGTCCTATAGAGGACCGGCACACAAAACTATAATACAATTTAATAAAAAACTTTTTAAGCAAGGAAATATTGAAATATATACCTTTAAAATAATGTTCTTGTAGTCTGGTATTGTTTAGCCTAATTTTAAAAAGTTAAATAGCATCTCGTCTACAAGAATAGATTTTTAAAACGCAACATAAAGAAGCTCTCCAGAAAAGAAGTGAATTTGCTTTAACACCTTTTTTTAACAGTGTAAAATATTGAAATATATACCTTTAAAATAATGTTCTTGTAGTCAGGTGTTATTCAACCTAATTTTGAAAAGTTGAATAGCATCTCGTCTACAAGAATATATTTTTAAAATGCTACAAAAAGCGCGTCAGAAACGAAGTCAATTTATTTGTAGAATACATTTATATGGCTTTGTATTTCACTACAATCATCGCTGGAAGTCAACTTATCATGTATTTTTTTTGTTTGTTAATTTAATCCAGTAGGTACTACATTTTCTACTTTAAAAAAGTTTTGGTGGTTATTTGCTTTAACCATCAGAACGCGGTATTGTACCTACACATAATACACAAAACGTACAATTATAATAACAATTATTAAAAGTATTTGTACCTGGAGTAAACATTGATACAAATATTTTTGTTACCTTCTTTAAACAGTGTGAATCAAGTATTATTTTCAGTGTTATTCATCAAGAGATCAAAAATGTGGAATGGAGATGTGAGTTTGGTTTGGTATGGATAGTTCTCTTCCATTTCCATTACTTTGTATGGCCTTACGTTTTGTTGACTATTTTCTTTCAGCATATTTTTAAAACGGTTGAAATCATCTAGTCTTCAGAATGAAAGGTTTAGTATCTACAAGACTTATTTTGTATTTTGTATTAAATAATTAAAAAATTAATTGTTTTTCAAGAAATTAAAAAGGTGGAATGGAAAGCTGTGGATATGGAATATAACTTATTTTAAATAGTTGTCTTCCATTTATATAGCTTTGTATTTCACTACAATCATCCATAGAAGAATGTGGGTATGGTATGAAAAGTTCCCTTCCATTGCCATGACTTTTTATGGCCTTACGTTTTGGTGGCTGGTTGATTTCAGCATATTTTTTAAAACTGTTGAGATCGTCTAGCCATCAGAATGGGGGGTTTAGTATCTACAAGATTTATTTTGTATATTTTAATTAAAAAAAATAATGTTTGTTTCAGGAAATTTTAAAGGTGGAATAAAAAGCTTCAGAAATATAGGATAACTTATTTTAAATAGTTATCTTGTATTTCCATGCTTTTGGATTTCACTACAATCAAACTGTAAATAAGAATCTATTCCCACCCAAATGATAAGGGGAAGAGGAGATATAAAATGTACCCTCCAAATTCTTTGAAAAAATCTACCAATAAGACAAGTCGTGTACCGTCTATGTTATTCTTAATTACGATGAAATGCTAAAATCGTTTGTATCGTGTGCTAAAATGATCAGCTTGAGCTTTATTAACGTAATAACGAATTTTATTGCTAATAATACAAGAAATCGCATATTACCCTTGTTATTCTTACGGTAATATGCAAGAATGGCCTTTATGATTTTCACCCATTTGGTGCTAAACAATAAGGATGGTAGTCGGTTGCGCCACCCCACAACTTAAAACCGTCACTGCTCCACTAGTATAGACATATCCTAGAAACAAACGTGTGTCGTTACATATTACTTTTAGAAATCCGAAAGCATCGTAGACTATAGTTAATGACATATTGGCGTAAAATAATATGCCAATATAGGACCAACCTTGGATAAAGATTGGCAATCTATATATTATTTTATCATTTTATGCCAATATAGGGCTAACATCGGCTAAATAAATCCAATATTGGCCCCAGATAAAATATTGGGCATAGACTCGCCCCATATCCCTGATAGGACACTTTATTCTAAGAATTTTAAACCTTCCAGTGAGAATATTCTTAGGATCATGCTATATTTCTTCTCAAGAGCATGCTTAAAAGACATATAGCATGATCCTAAGAAAATTCTTACTGGCCTATAAGCAGGTTCTTAGAAGGTGCAAAGTTTTAGTGGTAAAAATTAGTCTACTCTATAGAGTTTATAAACATATGCTTAAAATGTTAAGAAAGTACCCTGGTAGAAAATAACGTTTGCATACATTCAGACAACGTTGCAAATTTGTATAATAATTTGTTATACTCATAACGTTGTCTTAGTGTATCATTTTAAGTGGAAAATACGTAGTTAAAACGTTGTCTTGGAAACGTTATTTTAATGTATGATTTTAAGTGGGAAATAAGTAGTTAAAACATTGTCTTGGAAACGTTGCAGAATTGTATTGCTGGAAACGTTGCAGCAACGTTCCAAATCCCACGTTTAGATACATAAAATTATTTCTAAGTCCCGACGAAAATCTTTCAATGAGGATTTTTTTTTTAATTTTTATACTTTATTATACATTATTTATAAAAGTAAAATAAAACTCTTCAATTCATTTTCAAAGTCATAATATCAAAAATATGAGCGAAATACACAAAACCCACTTTCAAACAACGTTGCAGAATTGTATTGCTGGAAACGTTGCAACAACGTTCCAAAACCCACGTTTGGCTACATAAAATTTTTTCAAAGTCCCGACGAAAATTTTTTTACTGGGGATTTTTTTTTCAATTTTTTTTATTATACATTACTTATAAAAGTAAAATAAAACCCTTCAACACATTTTCAAAGTCATAATATCAAAAATATGAGCGAAATACACAAAACCCACTTTCAAACAACGTTGCAGAATTGTATTGCTGGAAACGTTGCAACAACGTTCCAAAACCCACGTTTGGCTACATAAAATTTTTTCAAAGTCCCGACGAAAATTTTTTTACTGGGGATTTTTTTTTCAATTTTTTTTATTATACATTACTTATAAAAGTAAAATAAAACCCTTCAACACATTTTCAAAGTCATAATATCAAAAATATGAGCGAAATACACAAAACCCACTTTCAAACAACGTTGCAGAATTGTATTGCTGGAAACGTTGCAACAACGTTCCAAAACCCACGTTTGGCTACATAAAATTTTTTCAAAGTCCCGACGAAAATTTTTTTACTGAGGATTTTTTTTTCAATTTTTTTTATTATACATTACTTATAAAAGTAAAATAAAACCCTTCAACACATTTTTAAAGTCATATTATCAAAAATATGACCGAAATACACAAAACCCACTTTCAAACTACGTTGTAAAATTGTATGCTAGAAAAGTTGCAACAACGTTCCAAAACACACATTTAGCAACATAAAATTATTTTAAGTCCCGCCGGCAAATTTTTTAATTTGTTTTTTTTTTATTTTTTATAATAAATTATTTATAAAAGTAAAATCAAACTCTGCAATACATTTTTTAAAGTTATATCAAAAATACGATCGAAATACACAAAACCCACTTTCAAACTACGTTGTAAAATTGTATGCTAGAAACGTTGCAACAACGTTTCAAAACACACATTTAGCAACATAAAATTATTTTAAGTCCCGTCGAGAAAATTTTTAATGTGGATTTTTTTAAAATTTTTAGTCTTTGTAACATTAGTTATAAAAGTAAAATCAAATTTAACTACCTATGCAATATAATTTTTAAAGTCATAGTTTTAAAAATAAGGCCGAAATACACAAAACCTACTTTTAGATACCTAAAATTATTATAGTTTCAATAAAGGTTTACTATCGTAGTTAGGTGATGGAACAACAGAGGTTACACCATAGTATTATCACAAAATTCTGTGGTATTATTTCTATGGGTTACACGGAACAAACTAAGAAAAATTCAAATTTACCGCTCTATCACGAAGTGTTTATTTCTTTATTTTAGGTTAAGTGTTGACATCGTGCGAAATTTTGTGCAAATTCTTCCGTGTTTTTTGGAAAAATAATTAAAAGATAAGGTAATTTTTATCTGATAGGGATGGCAAATAACTTTTAGTAACCTAAACAATCACCACAAACAATTTGTTAGTGTTTTTTTTAAACAGTTGCTTTTTGCATGGATTTTTAGGGTTATTTGGACGATGCCTTATGTAAAATAAGTTTTGTTCTGTGACGATGCCTTAAAAGCATAAACATGTTCCTGGAACAGTGTATCAAAGAAATTATCACCCAGAAAATATTGAATTGGCCGTGGCAGAGGTGATAAACAATCGTCTATCCTTTGGGTAGATTGCAAGTGTAATGATTACATCTGCCACAGATGATCTGCGGATAATGGATAATGTTTTGCAAGACAAGAGACAAAAGAGTGCACTCATATCTAAACCACAAAGCAGTGATAATTAGTTGTTTTAAAGAAAACCTTCCTGGCAATGACTGGCTAAATTCTTTCCGGAGGCAAAAATTGTGATTACTCAAAGCTTGTGCTCTAAATTTTTATTCAAAAGCAAAAATCCTCACATTTTTTCTTATATATTCGTAATTGCTAAAATTTATTTTGCCAAGCATCAAAACCCTTAATGAAAATTAAAAATTTGTGACTTTAAACTCACCTTCATTGTTAATTGTTTTATTTAGACTTATATTTTAACTAGGTAACTACTTAAATTTCTTTGACTTTTTATTTTTGTTGCTAATTTATAATTTGTTTAATCCTTTATTTAGAAAATTTGTAATAATTGTTAATAGGCAATATTTCTTCTCTTTAAAATACCAGCATTGTTATTTTTTTTAGGCCATGTTTTAAGTTATGTTACTTATATTTGAATTTTTCTAGTTAATAT